TGTAATTACTTTTAATAAATTATTCTGCCTCCTCCTATCACTCAAGTAAGTTGTCATCCAAAGGCACAATCAGTACAACAGAGGACACAAAGCCACTCACTGATAGGGAAGGTGTAAGAGAGGGCGGCTGGTGCCTCAAGAGCTGTGACTCATTAGAATCCATAAAGCTTTTCTACGAGATCAAGTATCAATGAAGCTATTGTAAGGTTACAGCTATATAAATGTAGGCTAGTTATGAATTCTCACATGGCAAGAGCATTTTCGAAAAGAGGAAAGGGCACCAGTGCCTGGGAAACCACTCAACACGAATGCTGCCTCAGTTACATAAGAGTGGCTGCCCACACCTACCATTTTGCTAAATGCAGGTAGTGCCTATAAAGAGAAGGGACCCTTTGGTTCAGCGCTCCCTGAATTCATCTTGTGCCATTTTGCCAAGCTTTGAACCCTAAGAGCTGCAGAGTCAAGCCTAACACCGTTGCCGACTGCTGTTAGAGATCCAAGAAAAAAAACAGAAAATTTTTATTAGTCTTAAATACTGTTTTCCAGAAATCATAAACCAAATAGAAAACAGATCTTTGTCACAAAAGACAAATAGCAGTAAAGCACTTTATTAAATAGTTTAAAATTTGTACCTACCTTTACCATTTTGAATATTTCAATATCAGAATTGTAATAAAAACATTCTCCTAGAATGTGTAAAATTTTAAAAGGAGCAATAAATGTGGCAAAATGCATAAGCCAAGTTGGATTTTAAAAATCTTCTGTGAATTATTATCAAGGTTATCAATGATTTCAGTTCAGAATCAAGCGTGTGGAAAGAACAAATGAAAAAGCAGAGTGAAAATGGTCCAGAATTTAGGAGGGATACTATCACAAAGAAAATAGTTCCAGTATTTTTCTCTCAAAGACTCAGAAAATAGAATTTACCATTTAGATCCCACTAAAATGGCCGCTAAATGCTATGAATCCAGTTTCACAACCATCTTTCTAGATTTTCATGTTTTACTCAATATTTCAAGGAAAACTTCACCAAATTTTAAACAATTTTATGCTTACGGGTATTATTTTTCAGGTTCTGGCAGAAAATAATAATTAAGGTAACCTTAAAGGGTGCTTGTATTGGAGACCATTTGCACCTAGCGTTTCTTATGACTAATCGTAACAGAGGCGGATCTTACCCTCAGCAAGACACTTGCTTGTAAACAGACACACATGAAGGAGCTCTTGTTAATAATAACAGCAAACCTTAGTATTGTTGAATTTTCAATGTTTTGAAAGCATGCCAATGAATACTTCTGACATCATCATATTACTTACTGATGACTAGAAATTAGTATTTTTAAAATTTGTTCTATTTTCAGATGTGCATAAAGTAGAAAAGGTACTTCTTTCAAATATGAACATTGGAATTTTCTTCCTCTAAAAAAATCATAATGCCAGTCAGATATTTTCTTCAAATATATGATTTCATAAATTATTATATAATCCTTAGAATACTGATTAAAGAATTATCAAAAATGCTGTATTATCAGGTATATATTTATAAGAACATTATATTAGTCCTTAATCTTTCAATATGATACATAATTTGTATTTATCTTTGAACCAGTTAAAGATAAAAGCAGGAAAAAAAAATGTGTGTTCTTCCAAAACCAGTAGTCATTTAGTAAAATCTATTAACATTATTTTTTAAAATATACATTATACAATTCACTGTGGCAATCGCCATTGTTTAACCCGCCCCTTGCAGAGCAGGCTGATCCATTCATCCTAGTTGTTCTTTGTATAGTTGTTCACATTCCCCTTGCCTTTCTGTTGCATAAATTATTCAAACTAAATAAAAGGAACTCGAAATAGTGAAAAAGGAAGAATATCAGAATGTAAGGAGAAAATACCTGAGGACCAGAAGCAAAAGAGGTGAGTTTTGTAACTAAAATTGAAGAAAAAAAAAAAAATGTAAAGGAATTCAGTTACACCAGTGGAAAAAGGGCTAAAACATAAAGTAAAATGGAAATAAGTGTCAGAGAAAATGCAGACAAAAGAATGACGCATCTACAGAAAAGACAAGAAATGAAAATCCGTAAGACAGCATAGAGAGACAGTAGAGCTACCTGGTGGGTGGGTGGGAATGACACAACACAGCAGCAGGCCAGGAAAGGCCAGGAGAGCATCTTAAATCACTTTACCGGTGGTACCTCTCATTCACCCAGTTTACTTTATTTCATTATGCGTTATTTTAACCCACAGCTGAGCACAGTATAAGTTTGTTTTGCTTCTCCTTCTGAGTTCACTGAAAACCTCAACTAGTATTTCAAGTTACACCAGGTTATGCCTACCACTTAGGGCCTTCAAGATTTTAAGGGGGGGAAATAATCATTCCTGTAAGATTCCATTCTTTAACGTTTAACTCCTCACCAAACGCCCCTCTTCAGACTCTGGCCTTGCACCAGTGCCTTCTGTTTTCCTTCCTCGAGCAGATCAGTAAAAATCAGAGAAAAAACGTTATGACCCTAGCATAGTTAAATACAGACCAGTCATCCCACAAGTTCACTCATCAGGGATGAATTCTGCCTGAGGCCTGAAGGTGCAAATACAGACTTACAGGATGGAGGAAAGGGCAGCAGGAGGGAGAGAAAGGGGCAAAGACAAAGTAGGCAAATAAAAGCAATGGCTAGATTTTAAATGTACAACCAACCAGAAACGACTAAAACTCATATTCTTATTTTACAGTTACATAAAATGAATAAAAGCAGAAAACGCCATAGTTTTATTCTAACATTGCAGAAAAACAGTAAACGCATGAAAAAAGAAAAATTAACTTCTGGCATGGCAAACATTTAAAAAAACTTACTAAACTCAATAGTAAGTTAACTACCTACATTCCTACGAATAACAGGTTCAAATCTCAGCAAAAAGTTAACAAATGACCTATCTGAAGACTCATAACCACAGAATTTGATCTGCATTTTGGAATAGACACTCGGGCAATCAGAGGACACACCTCGGCTACCAGCTGCAGTGTAGCTTCTGTGCCTTTCAGAACTTGTTCTCATGACCTTGGCAGCTGATCGCTCCCCCTTTCTAAAACCTGCCCTTGAAAATATTGCATATGCTTTGCCTCAGTGAGCTCCAAACTCTCCCAGGTGCGGCAGAGGCAAAACAGTGGGCAAAGGGCTCAGCTGCTGTGCAGAACCAGAAGGAAAGACGGGAGACGCTGATAATTAATATTGTCTGATACAATTCTGAAATTTCCCACCTTCTTGCCCTGCCCACCTCCACCCTCAAAGCTAGTCAGCTTTAAGCTCCATTCCTGGAAAGGAAGCTCAGCATGATGGTCTCAACCCACTTCATTTTCACGTCCTCCTCAAAACTGCTGCCCACAATTTCTAAGAAAAGTCAGAAGTGCGTCCTCCCCATAAGCTCCAACACAACAGCCTCTCTCAAGGAGAAATGGCTCAATGAAGAACTCCAGTTTTCCTGGAAGGCAAAATCCTCAGTCCCTACCCTTCTCATTCTCAGAAGGCAGTGGTCAGGTCATGGGTGTCACAGATAACGGTTACTTCAAATTCAGATTTTGGTAGTGATGGCAGCTGGTAATCCACAAAGATAAGGGCTTCCCCTGCTTTTATGCATGATACATTGTGTGCTTGGGTAATCTTACTTTGGGTTTAAAAAAATAACAGCTAAAAAATATTTTTTCAAATACTAAATAAGCCGTAATTCTTCTTCCTTCTTTGGACATTTTATGATCTCATCTATCCATCACCTCACAGACATTTTTAAAAACACCTAGACCGTGAAAGTTAAACAAACACGACCTACCATAGCATGTCAAGGTATGGTCAGAAAACTCAAGCCCGTTCAAAATGACAACTTTTTCTATTACTGTTTAACTGAAGTGACATATATGACTCTTTGTTTAAAGAGTCACACTCTTCACACACTGGATGTCTCCTTACAAATGACTATACTCCTAGGCCAGTTCTTTTTGTAATTCTCTCAGAAGCTGCCCTTGGTATCCTTAAATGCACTCTGAAACTTTGGTATCACCTTCATTACGATGTACTTTGTGCACATTCTCGGACGCTGCAATGCCCATACTAAGGCAACACATCACAGAAGTTGGCAGCAATGCTATCAGCAAGAATTTGGCTTCAGAATCAGAAGTGATTCATCATACATTCTAGCAGCAGAAAAACAACACACTGCTATTTTAATCCCTTGGTGCTTTCAAGAATCAAAAAACAGTAAAATAATTAAAGCAAAAGCAACAAAAATCATATCTGCTGTAAGGTTTGTAAAAACATTATTCACTTTTAAGAGTTTTCAATGAAATCACTCAGGAAACAACAGACTACTTACCTTATTTCATATTACTTATTACAATGACAAATCAAGTTTTGACTTAACACAATTTCAGGAGAAAACAGGTAGTCCAAACTTCTGCAAAGTAGCATACTGAAATTCTAAGTGTAGAAAAACAAACTTCTCATTTGCATTAGTAAATAAAACCTCTCCTAGTGTTTCAAAACTAATACACTTCTTTCATTTTCTCTCTCCATTTTTCAGAGTACTCTAAAGTCTAAATGAATGAGTGTGCTACTGTCTCTATCACGACCGAACAGAGAAACCTGATACTGTGGGTGACTTATTCAGAACAACCCCCTTTTCTAGAGATAGTTATATAATAATATAATACCATAATAAATACTACTGGTCTAATGTAATAATGGAACTCGCTTATGTCCTAACGCTCTATTTAATAAACATGAAAGAAATCTCTATCCTGGGTCATTCTAACTTCCTGAGAACACAGTACGTTGATAAGTCACTAGAATTATCAACCAGCATTTCTATAGAACTATCCAGGTATATCTAAGGTTTACTGCAAACTTAAAAAAAAAAAAAACAGCTACTCTGTCGTTGCGACCAAGTATTCAGGGCCAGACGGGGAGACTGATCAAGAACTCCATCCAGTGCTCTCTTTCGGGGACCCCTACCTTTTCCAACACTTCTTCTGTCTCCTTTCGTTTCCGTTTTCGGGGTCTCCTGTTCACTCGGACCCATTTGGCGACCTGAAGTTCAAAAACCACAGGGCATTTTAAACACAACGACGGGTCCTGAGGGCCGCCCCTCAGCGTGAGAAACAAACGATCGACAGCCTCGCGACATGGCCTTCCTCGGCTTCACCTGGGGGAGCCACAGGCACCCTTCGGGGCTCGCGGGACCGCCTCAGCGCAGGGGGCCCTCGGGTCTGCGGCGAGCCGAGGCCGCGACCTTCGCCCCGGCCGCTCCCTCCGTCACGGGCCCGATTTGCCGCCCCCGCGCCGGTGGGAGCCAGAGCCCCCGAACGAGGGCCATCTTACCCACCGCTGCCGCGCGACGCAGCCGACCGGGGTCTCCGCGCCAGGGATGCAACGCGCGACCCACCGCCCGGGGAGGGAGGGAGCCCAAGGACCGCGCCGCCCGCACTCCCCTCGGCGCTCACTTGCCGCACGAGCCCGCACTCCGCCCCGGCCAGGCGCTCCCTCTGCAGTGGCTGCGGGGGAAGGGGACAGAGTCAAGTTTTTCCCGAGAGCCGCCCCAGCCTCCCGCCCCCGCGCCCCACCAACTCGGCGCGCCAACGCCGTACCTCGCACGCAGTAGGCGAAGGTGAGAGCCTGGCGCCGGAACCCGCGCCCAGGGCCGTCCGCCCCGCCGGCCCGCCGGAGAGCGGGGAACGCTCGAGGCCCGCAACACCTAAGGCACAGCGCGGGCGGCGGGCTAGCGCGGGGCCGAGGCGGCGGCGCGGGCGGCGGGCGGGCGCTGGGCGGGGGCGGGGCCTGCCTTAAAGGTATAGGCGGCCGCGCCGCCCTCCCCGCAGGTCGCCTCCGCCCCGACCCCCGCCGGCGCTCCGCCTGTGTTATTGTTCTCTTCGCCAAACATCTTTCTTCTCTCCCTGCGTCCTGCCCGCGCCCTCCCACGCGCGGGCCGATCCCCGGCGCGCGCACTTACTTTTCCAGCCCACAAGCCTGCGGGACCCCGGGTACCGCGAAAAGGCTTCTTGGCCGCGGTGGGAGCAGAATTGCTGCCCGCCGGCAGGCGAAAAGGCTTAGCGGCAAAAGCTCCCTCAATGCCGCGGCCAGCCTGAACTCGCCCTTCGGGTCAGAAACCTAAGTGTCCAGATGGCCTTCACGGAGGGAAAGGAACTTTCCTAATGGAGTTTTCTCTGGGAATGCATTAGACGCCACTGAGTTGACCTTTTTCAGTGGCCCCTCCGGACTCCGGGGCGGTGGCAGGTGACCTCCTGGGGTAGAAGCCGCGAGCGCGTGAAAGGCGAACCCGGGGCTCCGCCCGCGCGTCGCGGGAGCTAACGCGCTCTGGGTGAGCCCGGCCGGCGCCGCGCTTGCCCGGCCTGTGGACCCCTCCAAAGCGACTAGTAGAATTTAAGAAGGGGACAATACGTCTTCATAAATAGGGGTAAACTTTCCACTCAAGTTTATAAAAGTGTGAGATACCCTCAGTTTTTTCCGCCGACCCCCAAAAGGCTTTCTTTCCATCCTCAGCAGAAGTGGGCTGAGCCAGCCTGGGGGGTGAGTGCTTTGGGAGAAGAGTCGGGTCGCACTCGGCGTTTGCTGATGTTGACCATTCCTTTAACTTTATCGCATTTCTTTAAAGAAAATCTGTCTTGCCCTCTCTTTATTGCTACTCCATCCTTCTTTCAAGATCAAAAGCTTTAGATCAAAGCCAAGATCAAACTCACTACTTTAAATAGAAGCAACTTTGCCATGGAGTATTTTACACAAAGGGAGCTTCTTAATGGAGACATCAGAGTGGAAAACTTTATTTTATCCCTTCATCCCAGATTCATAACTGGACTAACTTAAAATTACACTGATGATGCACTTCTGTTTCCTAAAACAACAGGACTGCTCAAACGGGAGATTCTTGACTTGGTGTTTGTGTTAACAGGAATTAAAAAAAAAAACAAAAACCTATGTAGAGTTAAATCAACATATTAACCGTTATCAGCTAAGTGCTATGAAATGCATGCTCGTTTGCCAAAAATTTTTTCAAGGTGTTATCGAATCTTTTTATATATAATGTACAACCATCACATACAGTTTTTTTACTGTAAAAGAAATGCACAAAAATAGATAGGCTTGCAAGCCTCAAATGCACATCAATATAGACAGGTACAAATTACAAAAGATGAAGTGGGTTATGTAATTGCAGAGCTGCTTAATTTTAAATGGAAATAAAACTTTGAACTATTTAAGCTTCCATGCTACTAATAACAGTTCCAGAATCAATAGAAATCTATCACTGACTGACATTTCCCTTTACCCACTAGAATTTTTTTTCTTGGGAATTCACCATGTCTAAGATCCCTGATACAAACAGTTCAATATTGATGTACAGTGCCATGCCTAAATGGACCTCTCTTAAGTGTCCTCTTTGTTGATTTAGCGACAATTTAAAAACATGTCTTAGAAGAAACAAAAACCAAAGTAAATTCCAACAGTCCAGCAGCAGGAAGAAAGATAACTATTGCAAATTAAACCTTATACAGACTTCTATGAAAATCTGCTGTTACAGCTGGGTAGTTAGTACTTGAAAGCTTTTTCCCCTTATAATTTTCATCTGGTTGTGGTCTCAAATACACACACACACACACACACACACACACACACACACACACACACATACAAGATTGTTCCTCATTCTAAAAATCCCTTTGAGCCAGTGGAAAGATCTTAAGAACTGAGACCTGGGAACACCATCTCGGTGCCATTGACAGTCTCCTTTCTTGCTAGCACCCAGTTCACAGAGAATCTAACGGTTTCTGGCACAAGCTGAGCAAGAAAACATCCTACTGCTACTCTGCTCTTCTAGGACTCTGAGTGGGTAGCAAAAGCTGTGGTCCATTCTAAGTGCCTACTAACTTGTCTCCTTGTTTGTCCTCTTGCCCCCCAAACCCACCCCCTCAATCTTTCTTCTCCACAAAGAAACCAGAATGGTATTTACAAAGGTAGTTCAAATGGTATCACTTTGCTTTACTGAGAATGCATTTCCTTTTCTTTTTTGCCTGGCTGGCTCCTACTTATTCTCTAGTGCTGGGCTTAAACAACACTTCCCCAGAAATGTCTTCCTCACTTCCCAATCCAGATTATGTCATCCCACTATGTTTTCCTATTTATTTCCTTGAAAGTAATTATCTTTTATAGATATTTAAATTTTTATTATTTTTTAAATAATTTTTTAAATAATTATTTATTTTTGGCTGCATTGGGTCCACTGCTGCACGTGGGCTTTCTGTAGTTGCAGGGAGCAGGGGCTACTGTTTGTTTTGGTGCGCGGGCTTCTCATTGCGCCGGCCTCTCTCGTTGCGGAGCACTGGCTCTAGGGCGCGCGGGCTTCAGTAGTTGTGGCTCGTGGACTCTAGAGCACAGGCTGAGTAGTTGTGGTGTGCGGGCTTAGTTGCTCCGCGGCATGTGGGATCTTCCCGGACCAGGGCTTGACCCCGTGTCCCCTGTATTGGCAGGCGGATTCTTAACCACTGCGCCACCAGGGAAGCCCTAAAATGTTTTATTTTTATTGAGACATTATTCTTTAGAAAAATTTGTGCAGATAGCACAGAATCCCCGTGTGCCAACATAACCCACAGTTTCCTTTATTATTAATTTCTTGCATCAGTGCCGAGAATTTGTTACAATTAATGAACCAATATTTGATACATTATTAAGTAAAGTCCATAGTTTACATTCGGGTTCACTCTTGTGTTGTACAGTTCTATTATAACTATTTTTTATTAATTTATCAAATATCTATTTCCTCGACCGGATTTTAAGGTCCAGGAAGAAAGAGATCCTGTCACTTCTGTTCCTGATTTTTGTCCAGTCACTAAAAACACTGCCTGGCACATAGTAGATGCTCAATAAATGTGTTACAGTAAGTGAATGGAAGGATAAAGGAATAAATGACTGAACGAATGGCATATGAAATTTCATGGGGGAGAATCTTAAGAAGAAGATCTTTCTAATTAACTCTTGCTTGTTTCTCTACTAAAATATCTTAATTTGTAAAGAGCACAGAATTATACATTTTTAAAAAGGAGACACCATGGGTTATCAGTTACATTGCCAGGGTACTTCTAAAATGACCTTTTTAAAAAAATAAAATAGAAATGGGAACTAAAAGTTCCTAATTCCCTCATACATTATTCACTAAAATTGTATCCCAAAATGGTGGTAGGAGCTGGATTTAATCTGGAATGAAATATTAACATATTTCATGACCCTGGAAAAGTATTAATTCTCTTTGATCATGTTCTATATGACCTCAACACGTTCCTCCTTTTGTCCACCTAAATCTACCTTTCTTCATCCGGGGACCCCAGTGAAGGACCCCAGTGAAACTTGAAGAAGACGACTTTTTAAAACATTGAATTCTGTAGCTGGGGATGAATATACTCTAATAACTGTCTTTGAAAATGTGGTGAAAGCACTTTAAAGCTATCTTTTAAAAACAGATGTCTTCTATTTTAATTATATCTTTAAAAATGGCTTGTCTAGTAGAGATGCAAGTTTTTTAAAAAAAAAAAAATGTTTCAAGAAACTTTCTTGTCAAAGCAGTTTATAACCGCTGAAGACAATTTCAGAAGCTGAGGAAAATGCCATTGCTTTAAAATAAAATCATTACTTAACCTAGTGGCTGGAGATTACTTTTGGAGGGAAAATCCTTTCTCTGTTTTCTTTTTTTAGTCGAGAGAAAGTAACTCCTTGAAATGACTCCTTTCACTGGAAAATGATAGTGATACAAATTTCATATTGTTAATATGGATGTGTGCCTCTGCTTGGTGATGAGGTACAGTCCAGAGGAATGAGAACCAGCAGCATGCCTTCCTAGGCAACCAGAAGGCTGAAAGGGCTAATGAGGGAAGCCCTTTAATTAGACGGAACAGCTTCAGATGGCAAATTACACTCCCTTGTGCACAGCAGAGGGAAAACTATCCACTATAAGAAGTCAAAAGACTTTTTAATACCAAACAAGGTAGAAAGGTCCAGAAGCTTTTGCTGGCTTCAGAAGGGCTCTATAGCCAACATATATTCAGGGTAAATTAGAAGGTAAGAGTCTACACATGTCTGGAAATAAAATCAAGGTTAGTTCAGGTTGCAAATAATAACAAGCAAGAAGCAGAGGCAAAGTTATCCAATGTTTATGTCTTTAAATTTTGCTCTATCATTTTAAAATGTAACATTCCTTTATGATATCTTTATATTTGACTTATATGACTTTAGAAAAATTATAATTTGTATTATTGCCCGTTCTGTCTCTATGTTAGAATGAATGCCTAATTTCTTTCTGAAGAACATTTTGGCCCTGCCAAATGAACTTCTCAGTGGAAGTCCTTATAAAGCATAGTTTTCAAAAAAGGAAATCCATCCCACACTTGCTTCGCAGTGACCTGGCTGACAGAATCTCTCCTCTCAGTAACCATAACCCTGAACTCACTGTTGCTCAAAAACTTTTACAGAGCTTGCCTGAGGTAGCATGCTT